GAGGCTGGAAAAGCAGATTAATATATTCAGGTAGGCCTACCAAATCTCATTGGTTTCTTTCATTTCGGATGCATTTTCATACTTCAATCATCTTTTTGTCAAAGGCATTTTAAATGAAACGGGTATTTTAAAGACCTGACTTGTTATTTTAAAAGGAAATCTCGCTAAGGACAAATGTCGAGCTAGGATTTGGTATAAACTGAAATGCCATCTGGAAAATATATGATGCAATTCTGCGCTATCTGACACTGCAGGGTCTTTTGTTGGACTACTATGTTTAGTTTGGGCATGACACTTCAAGAAGGATGCAGGCCACCTGGCAAGAGTACAGGGGAGAGGAACAAGAATGATCAAGAGTCTAGAAAATATGACCTACAGGAAAGATGAAAAGAACAGCCTGTTTATTTTTAAGGAGAGACCTGGAGCAAGAAACAGCAACAGTTGTAACATAACTTTCCTGCTACAAAGAGGCAGTAAATAATCCGTTACTTTAGTCCACTGAAACAAAAAGAAGAAATAGGCTGAAGTTGCAGCAGGAAAGTTTTTAGTTAATACAAGATGTGTTGGTTAAGGCAGGCATTTAAAATGTTAGGAAGAGTTAAGCAGCAGAAGGCTGTGGAATTGCCACCACTGCAGGTTTGTAAGAACAGGGTACACAAGTATCTGCCAGGAATAATTCAGGTGTCATTATTTCTGCCATGTGGCATATGGCTGGGATCTGATGGTTCTTAAGGTCTCCATGGAGGTCCTGGCGTGTGGGACAGTCCTTCAACTTGTACCTTGACAGCTCTGTTCATGGGGGGAAAAAAAAAAGAAGTTTAAAATAAGATAAAATTTCTTTAAAATGAGATAAAAATAAGATAGCACTGGCAGTGACCTTCTTTTGAAGGACATCAAATCCAAGGTCCTCCTCAAACATCACCTCAAAATAAGTTAGGTGTTCTGTTTGTTTGGCTGTTCTTATGGTTTGAAATTGTCTTCTGCTTTTCAGCTTAAATTTAACTTGGGATGGGATGGGATGGGATCGGATCGGATAGGATGGGATGGGATGAAATGGGATAGGATAGGAAGGGATGGGATGATATTGTTGTTGCGCTAATTTTTTCCTTTCTTTAGCTCTTTTTCCATTCTCAGGTTTCCCACAATGTGAATTCGGTCAGTGTAGTCGTATTCCCCCCTTTCACATCAGCTATTTTAGTTTTTTCTCGTAAGGAAAACTTAGCTTTAGTTGTTTCACTATCTTTTTCCCTGCACTGCTTTTTCCTACACTTTCCACCAAGTCGTTTTTTCTGAATGAGATTACAGTTTCTTGCAAAAAAACTCCCAATGAAAGGCCTTTCACTGCCTGCCTTTCTGTTTAAATATATCATTCTTGGCATCCCTCTCAAAGCTATAAACAATATAATCATAATATATTCTATATCAGTGATAGTAATGTATGAATCTTAGAATACAAAAGCTATAAATATTTTTACTGTTTTCATTCATTTGTAAATAGAAGTAAAATGAAAAGTTTATGTGCTTAATATTTAAATTAATGCAAAAGAGATTCGTGACCCTTATACACTACTGTTATTTTTTTAAAATCCCTTCATCCTCTGTGGTTCATCCATTAAGCTACTGGATTGTTTTTTCTCTCTGACATTGCATTTAGTTTTATATCACTGTGGGCTTCACACTGCAGTTTGAGAACTACCAGGTTAGGTGTTCATTTCGAACACTAGTCAAAACCACAGAATAAATTTCAAACAGTATTTCTTAACGTACATATGTATGGAAAGAGTTAAGTAAAGCCCTCGCTCAACACCCTCAACCACCCCCCCCCCCCCCCCCCCCCCCCCCCCCCCATTTATATAAGATTTATCTGGGATATATTTAAATGTGGAAAACTTGGAAGAAAACTTAAGGAAATACTCAGATGAATGTCTCAAAGTGCCCACGTACAGCTGTGGAATATCTTGTTGGTGAGAGGTTCTGCTGGGATTTGCAGATGAGAACTTTCCTTTCCAGCTCACTTTGGAGACAGATGTACAGGACTGAATGTGTCACTTTATTGACACTGCAAGTTGCACAGACTTATGCCCAGGATGAATCTGGAGCATACGTCTAATGTTAATGCAACACAATAGCAAACATTAGGTTGTTCCCTCAGGTATCAAAATATTCACCACAGCCGATGACTCCTCACTGTAAAACATGTACTGAACCCTGTAGAGCTTTTGTTACCATCTAACAAAGATGAATTTTATTCGTTTGAGGGATTGTTCAGAGGATATTATGATGGACACTTGAATCCTGACTTCAAGACGGGGTGACCTCTCATGATCCCTTACAGCTATTCTGTGATTCTATGATTCATAAGCCATTGTATTTCTTTGGACTTATAGTTCCTCCATATTGAATGAATATATTCCTTCAAACATTAGACCTTGTATAAATCAAGAGAGATGCTGTCAGATACTGTCATTGCTAGAACTGTTTGTTACTTTATGTCCTTTATTTATTAAGTTGCTTTTTCTAACTGAGGCCTTTCACCATTAACGGTTAACTTCAGTAAAAAATACTTTTTTATTCATTATTGCATAAGTGTCTTTCTCAAGAATTTCAGCATGGTAGCCTGTTACAAATCATCTCCAAGTTAGTGTGCACTCCTTGCTTTTATGAGTTAGTCACTATTAACACATTTTTGTGATCTTGTGGGTTTGGCACCCGCCTACCACAGAACAGAACAGAACACTTCCCTGTGGTGTAGACATCTGGCTCTGATACAAGATCATTAAGCGATCAACTCACGTTGCAATATCATCCGGAGGAATTTGCATGGAATGGCAGAGAGAAAAGGTATCCTGTGCAGAGAAAGACAGCCACATCGTACTTCTTTCAGAAGGAGAAATCTTAGTGTCAGTCTGAGAGGATTCTCTTGATCTGAATCAGTCACTTGTCTTTTTGGATTACCAGTGAATGATCTTGCTGTTGAATTTTCACTTTCCTTTGGTTTCCATTCCTTCTCCTCTTTGCTGTTTCTAGGTTCCCAGAAGACACCATGAATGTCACAACTCCCAGCCAGCAAAGGCTAAGTGCCAGTGCCTTCCGCTAATGAGAAATGAATGCTCCAGAGCAATGCGCTCAGCACTGTCTCTTCCCTTCACCACCACCCCAAAAGTTTATACTGCCATCTTCACGACTCATATCCCAGGTAACCTCAGATCCATGTCTTGGATATTGATGTTTAGAAAGCAACAGACTTCTACCAATATACTTTCATAGAATAATGCTGAATTAGGTCTCATTCAAAAAGATCGGACTCTTATCTATTGGGCATTAAAGTAGGAAACAAGTACAAAGAAAGCACCGATCCTCAAATCTAGAAAGAAGAAACAGAGTAGTGTTTCTCCCTCTGTACAATGAGACAAGTGTCTGGAGTTCTTTCTTGTTTTGTTGACAGAGGAGCTGTAAAGCGTGGTGGGACAAGCAGTGTGGTGGGACGATCAGCGTGGTAGAGACTGGTGAACAAATTGGCAGGCAGTATCCCTGGTCCCAGCATCCCTGTTGTACCTCACTGGCATGGCAGGAAAGAGGACAATAAGCCACCGAGCCCTGAACGTCCCAGTCTGCTCAGAGGGAGCCCAGCAGGCTGTCATCAGCTTTCGGGGATACCTGAGTGGAAAGTCCAAGGCCTTGGCATCAGAGGGCACGAGTTTCGTCAGGAGCGAGAAGACATCTAAACGTTGTACACCTGCTGCTGCACACCGAAGGTTCAAACTCTGCTGGGTAAGGCATGGGTGTGCACAACAGGAATGTACGTGCGGGTGAGCTTTATTGGAAGAACGGGTTCGCTCTCATGGGTGAGTGCCGCAGAGTGACAGGTCAAGACGCTGGTGTTTTGGTGGAAGGTGCCTTGCTGCTCGGGTGCAGGGGAAAGGCGCGCTCTCGGCTCCGTTTCCCCACAGCTCTCCCCTTGGGCATCTGCCTGAGTTGTAAGTGGGAGGAATACGTGTGTGTGTCTGTGTGTACAATGTAGCTAGGCATTCATCACTTCGTGTTAAGGCTGGAGTGATGAAGAATTTCTTCCTCATTGGTACAAGTCATCTAAGTGAAATATTTTTGAGTAGGCACAGTCCTCCACCCTTCCTTTTTTATTTATTTTAATCTGATTGTGTTCACGGTCATGAGCGCATCTTTTTCTATAGCTCCTGACTCAGAGGTTACAAGTGTTATCAGAACTGGAAAGCAGAGTCTTCCAGTGGCTGCTCAGGAGTGTGGGGCACCAGACCATTTTCCATACTCTCATCTTTCCCCCTTTCTACTCTCCCACTCATCCACGAGGAGCAGCTGCAGTATTCATGTTCAGCCAGAAGGGAAGACAGGCAGACAGCTGTCACGCTATGAATCAGATTTTAAACTGTGGTTTGGAGGGGAAGATTTTAGCTTTATTTCCCACTTGCAGAACAAAGAGCATCTGTTTTTGACACTTGCAGTTTTATGCTGATCTGGGAGTTTGACTTGTGATTACAGATTCCAGGTAGGATAACTGAATTCACATAGCCAATGCAACAAATTCTCCTTACATTTCTTCATTGTTTAGGTCACTGCGAAATTAAATCCGAATTATATACAAAAGAACAGAATGTTTAAATGAGAATGAGAGGTAGTATGTGTGATTTTTGTCAGTCTTATAAATGGTGTGACTAGAAACACTATAAGCAGATAGGCTGGTTATTTGTTTTATTGTTTTAGGGAATTTGAAGACAGTGAGTGCTGAAGAATGAACAGACTCTGGCTTGAAAAGTGTTCATGTGTGCTGCAGTAGTGAGGGATAGAATGGTTTCTTGGACACACTGGGAAGCAAGAGAGCCAAAAGTGAGTCACATGGACAACTGCAGACATCACATTTAATTGTGTAATAATGCTACAGCAAGCACAATTGGAGCAGGCTTGCTGACCTCACAGCTGAAAGCGCTATTTAAGATCTGGCTACCAGATGTTCCAATAGGATCTAGCCAGCTGCTAGCAGAGATTACCCTGAGTGTTTTAACGGGGAATATTTACAGCCTAATAGTTCGGAAGAGATGATTGCACTAATTTTCTTTTCTGCCCTGCTGTGGGACAAGGCTCAGGCGTGGGGATTCAAGGACGGAGTGCTGCATAACTCTATTTGGTTAGGTAAGGAATAATTTAACTGTGAATGTTTTGCTGCAAAAGTCACTGTGTTTGTCTAACAGTGTAAAGATGAGCACCTAGCAATACAAATTGAGCCATGTGTTAGTATTAGCAAAATCCTGCATTGAAACTGGCGATCATTTTATCTGAGTAGTGACTGCAAGTTTTGTCCTTAGGAGCTTACTATTTTTACTATTTCTCTGAAGTGCAGGAAAAAGTAGTTACGGAGTATTTCATCTGAATGTATTTTCCTACAGCATGAGGTAAAGTGAAAACAGCGTTAAATAACAGTTGCTTCTAATGAAGGAAGACGAGTATGAAAAGAAACATTTGCCAAAGGAATGAATTACTTTCTGCATGAACATACTTCAGATGCCTGGGGTCCTACATATGAGACTAAATGATCTGGAAATAATAGTGATAATATTTCCTAGGTTTCTAGGAAAGTACAGAAATGCATATGTTTTGGCCGTTGGTTTGTTCACATCATTAAACAGCAGAGAGAAGGTTTCAAAAGGGCTATAGAAAATGCTGTGGGAATAGTTTCTTATACCTCAAGTGGGTTTAAATAGCTCTTAGGGTTCTTTCATAGATCTTTATAATTACCTAGTACAACAGAAAAACTTAGTCAGAATATAGTCACATAAAAGATGCCAAAACAAAAACAGGCACCGAGTGCTCCGTTTTATAGACAAATACTTACAAACTCCTTTATCCTCTCTAGAATGTTGTGTATTTCTTTAAGGATTTTAAGGAATTCCTGTAGCCTGTACACATTTCTGTTGTGCTCAGATGTTTTGTGAGGGATTGGAGCCATGCTCTATTAGCTGGTGCAGCAACCACGTGACTCCAGTTCCTTCTCAGAGGACCATGTAAACTAAAAGGAACATAAATGCGAAGGAGAAGTGATCTATATTGTTTTCCATTTGACTGCACATCTTTAATGACTTCTCTTTCCTTCTAAACTTGGAACATGCCTGCTGTGTCCCCGAGTTGCTGAAGGTGCTCTGGTAGGGGAGAGCTCCAAGGGAGGACAGCTTGGCAGCTTCATGCACCACCTCAAGTGGCTGCTACTCAAAAAAAGGATGACAGAGAAGAGGTTTGTGTGAGAAACAAGCAAAGCTTGTATTCTTGGCTGGAATAACAGTAAGGAGACACAGAAGATAAGTAGGACTGAGGCTGTGTAAAGCCCTGATAGTAGAGGCAGAGAAGTTGAACCTCATACAGGCTGTGATGGGTATTAGGACGAGAGGAAATGGCCTCAAGTTGCATCAGGGGAGGTTTAGATTGGATATTAGGAGAAATTTCTTCACGGAAAGATTAGTCAAGCACTGGAACAGGCTGCCCAGAGAGGTGGGGGAGTCCCCATCCCTGGAAGTGTTCAAAAAATGGGCAGAGGTGGCACTTTGGGACATGGTGTAGTGGGCATGGGGGTGTTGGGTTGATGGTTGGACTGATGACCTTAGAGATCCCTTCCAACCTTCACAATTCCTAGTTTTTACTTTCATTAAAAACTAATCCAGCCACCAAGCGAGGAAACATGCAATTAATTATGACTGTACCCTTAATTGGTTTAGTGGTGGACTTAGTAGTGTTAGGTTAGTGGTTGGACTGGATGATCGTCAAGGTCTTTTCCAACCTAAACGATTCTGTGATTCTATGATTCTCGCACAGCAGGGATGCGGTCAGAGCAATGAGCAAAGCCGCTTGCTGAGTCAGGCCCCTTGGTCATCCGTAGCCTGTCCAGGCTGTCCCTGCACAAGTGAACAACAGCACACGGCCGTGCACAGGTCCTGGCTGGGGTTTAACCAGTCTCACGTTCCCTGGCGCAGTTCTGCTCTCAGCCAGCCAGTGGTCTTCTCAAGAGTACTCCAGTGCAGTGCCAGGGAGAGCCGGGCCACGGGCCATCCCTGGAGGAGACCACCCTGGTGATGGGAAAGAACGCTCAGACAACACGCCATGCCACTTGCACTCATGGATAGAGAATGGGCCCTGGGTGTTTTATTTGCAAATATTGGCATATCCGTGTGACTGCTGCAACCAGCCACCCTGGATGTAGCCTTTAGGGGCTTCTACAACGTAAATGTGAATTTGTGATAATAGTGATCATTTAAGCAGTTTTATGAATTGAAGTCAATTTGAAGAAAAAAAAATCTAATTCTTTAAAATGAAGAAACAGAGTGTTAACTGGAATGCATAATAAAATTATGTTTTGCTACACCTTTAGCATATACCATGAGAGTAAATAAAAATAAACCACGGGGTAAAAACTGATGGCTTGCTCTAAATAAAAAAATGCAGGCAAAATCTGGAAGCACAGCGTGCAACTTTCAAATAACCGCTCTGCTTTCTTATCTCCAGGACTCCATTGAAGCTCCTTTAGAAATGCACCATCTAGTGTAACTACAGCGACAAAATTATTGAAACAGGTCTCAAAATGCAGTTAATTGAATTACCAGTGGAATTCAGTGACGTTATATATAAATGCAGAAAAATTTGGCAAAATGACAGCCATCCAATTTATGCGTCTTTGTATTTACAAAAAAAAAGTGTAACTTGAACAGCATAACAAGTAACCCCAATCTCATACTCACTGTGCACGAGCATTAAAGCAAGACGCCCTCCCCTGAATAAAACCTAGGAATGTGCAGTGACATCTGAGCTTTGCTTATCTCTTCTTCTTCTGATAAAGCACTATCAAGACCAAATTGAAAATGGAGTTTTCTATTTTACCTTTCTTCCTCCACAAATCATTAGCACAAATACAAAATCTTCAATTAATGCCAGCCTAGAAATGCTCATGTCTCTCTTTTTTTTTCTTGTTACAAAACTTCTGTTTTCTCAGTAAGCATGCAGTCCTGCTGCAGCTGACTGTATCACCTTCCTGTTACCGTCTTTCTTGTCTGAATGGAATTTTATTGTTGCTCATTTTTGCCACAAGCACATTACGACCAAAGGTTTATTGTAAACTGACGAGAGGACTGGACCAGTCTTACCCAAATATGCTCGTCCGCTTATTTGAGTGCCAGTTCTTCGTGCCACAAAGTAGATTTCCCAGGACAGCTGCTGCACTCTCTGTGTTCAGAATTTCACCCCCGTTGGCACACCATGTGTCGGTGCAGTTTTGGAGCCATACCCCATTTGGTGCGGTACTCTGAGTATGACCGTGCGCGTTAGCAGAGGCCCATGCCAGTAGCTCTCTTCCTCCTCTGCTTAAAAGTTAAATATTTATTTTTATTTAGCGTTTAGTGTTTGTGTCATGCACATTGAGGGTACATTATTAGGCTGAATTGCATGCGTGTTGTGTTTGTGCAGAAGAGATTGGCTACATTTTACCATCTCCTACTACTGTGGGTGAGTAGAGGGTCACTCTCCTTGCAGGATCCTGCTGTCTCTGGACTTCAAGGGGAGATTTTAAGAAGTGTGAGTTGGAAGAAACATGTCCTGTCAGCCATGTAACCTGTGACCTTTTGTGTAAGAACCAAAGTAGAAAAGTGGGTGGGGAAATCCTTGAGAGAACAGTCCCAGTACGCAGGTTTTCAGGCAAGGAAAGAACGAACTTCGCTAAAAATTCTCACTGTTGTCCAGGAAGAGGAGATTTCAGGCGGGTCAGATAAAGAGAGCTGCCTTCAAGCAGAATCCCCTGGCAGAGAAGATGCCTGGCTGAGGCTGGGACACGTTGTACTCTGCGCTGCTGGCCCCATTGGAGAGGAACGGTACGCATTTAGAGTGGCAGGCTTGCGCTTGCGCTTACAAGTAAAAACAAAATTTCATGCAGGTTTATCTACACGGCCATGATATCGCCTCCATAGAGACTAATAGTAATTCGTGCATGTGTGTGTGTTCATGTATGACTGTGAATATGTGTATATAGGTATATACATATACATAAATATATGAATATATATTAATAGTTAGTAAGTACTAACTTAACTTGTAGTGAAGTGGGTGTCGGTCTCTTCTCCCAAGTAACAAGTGATAGGATGAGAGGAAATGGCCTCAACTTGCATCAGGGGAGGTTTAGAATGGATATTAGGAAAAACTTCTTCACGGAAAGAGAGGTAAAGAATTGGAACAGGCTGCGTTGAGAG